TGTGAGCCACCATGTGGTTGCCGGGAATTGAACTCAGGACCTTTGGAAGAGCAAGCAATGCTCTTAACCACTGAGCCATCTCTCCAGCCCCAACAGGTAAGATTTACACTTGTAAAAAGAAAGAAGAAAAAACTGCTTGCAATAGAAGGTTAACAGCAGAACTGACAATAGTAGAGAACAGCTTAATATATCTTAAATCAGGGTTGGATTACATATATAGTATTTTTTGTAAGAGACTTAAAAGTACATACCAATTTAAAACATGAGACTTATTGTTTTGTAGTCTGGAATGAGATACAATGAACAGACAATTGTAACATTTAACAGTAAACATATTTAAGTTACATGTATGCATACACACAGTGAACAGGAATTGGGCAAAGTGGATGCTCTTAGTGGGCTCTACCAAAGGCATGCCACTGTGCAAAACACACATGTAACAGAGTCAACACTGGAGAACCAGGTATGAAATACCTCAGTAAAGATGGTGGGAGTTGGTCACCTGAACTGGCTGTCGGTTAAGATGGTGGTGAAGTCACCTGACCTCAGTCAAAATGACAGCAGTCACATGTTGTATGGAGAAGCCACTTTTTTTTTTTTTTTGAACCACGGGAGATTTAAACATAATAACAAGAGAGACCTAGAGGGGTGATCTGCCCTGTTGCCGAGCTGTGGCACCACAAGCTGCGGGAAGCAAAGGCTGGAATTGAAAACAGCTGCCTTGTGGATCTATCCAATCCATGGGATGGCAGGGGCAGTTTGAGGAAAAGCAGAGCCGGCAGGACACTGGAAGAGCATTCATAGGCGGGTGGCTGAGAGTTTGAGGGTTTATACCATAGCTGAAAACATGAAAACTCGCAAAAAACACCACAGGGCCTATAGAAGAGCGTCCTCTCTATACAGGCGGAGTGTTAAAGCTTGACTGGCTTCTGTCTGGGCAATTCGGAAGCCAGAGAGGCTAGAGGCCGCTCTGAGCGGTCTCTCATGGCAAGGACCACTTAAGTATCCAAAAAGAAAAGGAAAAAAAAAAGAAAGAAAGAAAAGGAGAAAGAAAAAACCCTGGGCCCCCAAATTGAATGTACAGGAGGACCAACCTGGGGTTGTCCGGTCATGACTTCAGCTACGGAAAGCAACCAGAGATGAATGTTAGGCAAGGGCTCAACCTTAGCCTTGAAGGCTGTGGTTTGGGGCTGGAAGGGGAAAACTCACCACCAAAGCTGCTGGTGTGCGTAGAGGTCGGTGGTCAGGCAGATAGGATGCAGAGCTGATGTAAAGAAACCTGGTTCCTGAGCCCAGGTATTCTCAGCTGGGCCACCCTCGGGCAGGAGGGAACAGGGAGAGCCTGGCTGAGTCACAAGCACCAGGGTAATGGTAACAATAAAATGCTGTGGTTCCCAGAGGGGCGCAGTGGCAGAAACACTGCAGGTCCCTGAGTGACGGCAATGTCACAAAGGCAGTCAGTGAGGGACAGGGAAGGAGAGGAGCAGCGGCAGAAGCTGCCTCAAGAGAAAGACTGAAAAGGAAGGGGCTCAGACTGGAAGAAGGAAAATCTGCCTGCCTCAGCCGGCTGTGGAGGTGGGGGAGGAGTGGGCTGGTCTTATCTCTTAAAGGGACAGGACATACCATTACACCAAGGAGAACTTTTTTTTTTTTTGGTTTTTGGAGACAGGGTTTCTTAGGAACTATGGAGCCTGTCCTGGAACTAGCTCTGTAGACCAGGCTGGCCCCAAACTCACAGAGATCCACCTGCCTCTGCCTCCCAAATGGTGGGATTAAATGCGTGCAACACCACTGTACTGCCTGGCTTTTTTCCCCCTTAAGTGTGTAGTGTATATTTGTGTTTGTGTGGGGTGTTCGTGCATGTATGGGGTAACGCACTTGCATGTGGAGGTCAGAGGTTGACATCAGCTATCTTTTTCTGTAGCTCTTCACTGATTTTGGGGGGTTGCTTGTGCGTGCATGTGCATATGTGCACACACATATGGATGCCCAAAGTTGACATCAGGAGACTTCAGTGATAACTCTCTCCACTGTCTTCTTTGAGGCAGGGTCTTTCAACTGACCCAGGATGCAGAAATTCCCAGACTGCAAAGCCATTCCCTTGAAATTCTCTTGGCATATTGATCTAGTCAGGCAAGACGCAAGCTCACAGCTACCCTGGCATAGTTCTGGGAAGGGGACTTGAAAGCCAGAGAAAGGATCTAGGACTTGGAACTGGAGGGCAAAGGCCTCCTCCCACTTCCGCTGTTTGTTAAGGAGTGACCAGGAGGAACTCAGTCACTACTGGAGCATGGGTGTTCCCATTCATAAAGGCCTTCTCCTACTTCCAGTGTTGTTAATGACTCAATCAGTACTGGAGCATGGGTGTTCCCATTCATAAAATGTAGGTAGCCTGCATCGGCAACCAAACCACACCAACAGTGGCTGAGCAACAGTCCTGGGGCACAAAACCAACCCCAATGTGGGTAACAGCTCTTCAATGTGGGTTTCCCCAAACTTACCTGGACTACAGTTTCTTCTTTTTAAGGGTTTGTCTGTGGCACATGCCTTTGTTCCCAGTACTTGGGAAGCAGAAGGAACGCTGTGGGCTAGCCTGGCCTTTGTTCTCAGTACTTGGGAAGCAGAAGGAACGCTGTGGGCTAGCCTGGCCTTTGTTCCCAGTACTTGGGAAGCAGAAGGAACGCTGTGGGCTAGCCTGGCCTACACCGTGAGAGCAGGTCTCAAACAACAAAATCCCAAGATTTCTCTTTACTTCTGCGTCTCTGTGTGTGCCTCATGGGTGCGGGTGTCCTCAGAGGCCAGAACTAGAGTTCCGAGGATTGGGAAATGCCCAACGTGGGTGCTGGGAACTGAACCTGCGTCTTAATTGCTGAATCATCGTCAGCTCCTCTGTTGTGTGTCAGCCCCGCCCTCACTTTTGGGTAGCTTCTCACTTTGTAGTCTAGGCTAGCCTCTAATTTACTCAGTGCTGGATTCAAACTGGCAGTAAACCTCCTGCCTCCACCTTCCAAGTGCTGGGATTACAGGAACAAACCACTATGCCTTATTAAGAATTATTTTTTTTCCCCTGAGACAGGGTTTCTTCCCGTAACACTGGCTGTCAGGGATTAAGCTCTGTAAACCAGGCTGGCCTTGAACTCACAGAGATCTGCCAACCTCTGCACGCATCACCACGCCCAGCAGAATTGTTTAAATTTTTATTTTAATTTTATTTGTTTGTGTGCATGTGTGAAGGTGCCATCAGAAGACAGATTCCCTGGAGCTGAAGTTACAGGTAGTTAAGACATATATGCATATACACAAACATGAGATAGAATTCTTTAAAAAAAATTTAAGTTTTTAGTTCCTAAAAAAATTAGGCCAGGCAGTGGTGACCTCAGGTCCAGGCCTGCCAGAGTCACATGAGACCCTAGCTCAAAGTAATTTTCCATGCCAGGCAGTGGTGGTGCACACTTTTAATCCCAGCACTTGAGAGGCAGGCAGATCTCTGTGAATTAAAGGCCAGCCTGGTCTATAGAGCGAGTTCCAGGAAAGGCTCCAAAGCTACACAGAGAAACCTCGTCTTGAAAAAAACAACAACAAAAAAAGCTTTAACGAAAGTAGCATTTTTGTGTCTCAAACACATACTTGCTTCAAATTCCAAATCCTGTCTGCCTTAGCCTCAAGTAGTTTGGAGATAGACAATGAAAAGGTTGAAGTGAGGGGGCTGGAGAGATGGCTTAGTGTTTAAGAGCACCGGCTGCTCTTCCATTGGATCACAGAACCCACATGACAGCTCCAGGGGATCTTACACCTTCACCCACATATGTTGACAGGCAAAACACCAATGTACGTGAAATAAAAATTAAAAAAAATCATTAAAAGTACAAGTGGACTCTACTTCTGTGTCATTCCAAATAAACCATAAGACCAGGGGCAAGCAAGCAAACTTGCAGGTACAAGCAGGGCCCCAGGCTTCATCTCAGCTGCCTAGGGGACAACCTGGAACACCATCGCCATCTGGTGGCCACGGTGTAGCTATGGCAGCCATCATGCCTGGAGTGCTGACTGAAATCTGAGAAGATAAAGAGACCCGAGGGAGGATGACTGGACAGCTGGGAGCACTTCCCAGGGTCACAGGAAGGGACTGTGTGTACTGTTCTAGAAGCCCTTGCTGGGCCAAGGGCTCTGCATTCCCAGGAGTTCCTGCTTGCCCAAGGTCTTAGGGTTTTTACATAGAGCCAAGTATACCCATCTCGGCCTTTGTGCTGTCAGTCTCTACCTTAGCATGGGCAGTCTTACCCCTGTGGACAGCAACTTGCCCTCCTCCCTCCTCCTAGTTTCTCTCCATCTGCCCTGGTTTAGGGATGTTACTGTTTCCAGCCCTGACATTTCCTATAGCATTCCTCAAATTTATCTCTGTCACCCAGGAAACTGGCCAGTTCATGCTCAGACCCCCAACCCCCATCTACCTTGGAAAGCAGCCCCTACAGCCCTCAAACATTTCCTTTGAAATATCAAATAGAAAAGTTGGGAGTATAAAGACCTTTTTAAAAGATTTATTCTATGCCAGGCAGTGGTGGTGCACGCCTTTAACCCCAGCACGCAGGAGGCAGAGGCAGGCAGATCTCTGAGAGTTAGAGGCCAGCCTGGGCTACAGTGAGTTCCTGTCTCTGCTTCCCAAATGCTGGGATTAAAGACATGCATCACCACTGCCTGGCGTGGAAAATTACTGAGATAGTGTCTCATTATGTGACTGTGGCCGGCCTGGAACTGAGGTCCATGGGCCTACACCTAGGGCACAGGGATCAAAGGTGTACACTGCTTTGCCTAAGGCAAAAGCTTACTGCGCATGCCCATTCCATCCTGCCCAAGGATGTTTTTGGTCTTCAGTGATAATGGGACTGTTTCAGCCACATCCCTTAAGGAAATGTGGTTGCCTTTAGTTTTAGTTAGGTGACCCCAGAACCCTATGGGCAATAAATCCTCCTCTGAGTATATAAAAAACTAGGTAGAGAACATGGGTTCAAGATCACTTTTATTTGCAGAGCCTGCAACAGTTGGTTAACAATGCTAGCTAAACCAGTACAATCCAAAAAGCCATTCTCCTTACAGCATTTAACTAACAGAATCTCTACAAACCAGACTAGAGATCAATCGGGACATATTTCAACATCGGGAAGAGGCTGCTCATTTCCTTGTTCCCCACATATTTCCAACAAGATTTGTTTTATAGCCAAATGTGACTCAAACCCATAACAAAGCAACTAGCCATCTTTAATATCATTGATTCCCTCCCCACCCCCAGAAGAGAAAGCAGAGGTAAGAGGGGAGACTTTCCCTAAGAAAAACCTGGCTAGACCCCAGAGGAGCAAAGATGACCGGGAGACTGGTACCTGAGAATGTTGATGAACAGGCACCAAACAGGCTGCACAGCTCCTCAGAAGGGAGATGTTCCCTCAAGACCCTCACTTCCACGGGGTTAGATTAAGGGGGTAACTTGGGTGACTCATGACTCCCTGTCCCTCAAATCAAAACATGATAAACCCAGAACATTTTAATTCAAATTCACCACACTCCCTCCTGAGAAATTCTACAGTCATCTGTAGGCCGTGGCCCACTCCTTCCACCTAATGGCCTGGGCCCCCGCATCCTTGGGTGCCCACCCAACACTGATTTGATACTCAACTCCTAAAATGACTTTTTTTTTTTTAAGGGACATTCAGTGGGCATGCTCCTCCCTAGCTCTGTGGGCTCCACTCATCCCTTCCCACTCTCACCTTGGGGCACCTACACTACAGCATTCCAGCACTGGCCTGGGGGTGGTCAGATGGAAGCTGCTTGAAGTGCTTTCTTGTGACTCCAATACCAGCCACTATCCTGGGGACCTAGGGCAAGGAGAGTGGAGACAAAACTTTCCCAAGGAGATCACAAAGGACAGAGGTAGGCCTGGGAAGGTTAGCTTATGTCCTGTAGCCAAGCCTGGATCTGGTGCAGGCTCTTACCAGTATCTCAGTCCTTGACTTTGAGTAGCAGCAATCCCAGTCCACAGCGCCTCCTAGGGGTGACTGAGCTCCTAGCGCTGTCCACAACAACAGGTTTACCTTTTCTTATCCCTGCCCCATTTTCTTTCTTTTCTTTTTTTTTTTTAAATTAAAAGCAGAGGTAGTTCCTGGGATGATAAAACTCTACCTAGAATGGCAGTATTTTGACTTGAGGAATAAAAAAAAAAAAAAAATAAAACAATTGATGAAGCTGAATAAATTAAAGTTATGGGTCATCCACGAGGACCTCTTCCAGCCTATCTTTGGTATATGGCCAGCAGCACTTCTGTTTGCCACTTCTCTCCCCGCACGACAGGAGGCCAGGGTCCACCCAATAAGACCCCTGCTGCTTCTTCATGGGATGCTGTCAGAGCAGATTGATGCGGCGCTCTAGACTATAGACTCCGGTCTGCGCTGTGGCAGGTCCAGCTTTGGCAGACAGTCCTGACAAGGAAGGAGTTTTATAGGACAAAAGAGCGTAACAGTAGGATGCCTTGGGCTCCAACTTGGAGTGTAGGAGATAGGTTTAAGACATGGAAGGCCCAGGTTGTTCTCCATGTACAACAGCTGGCTCCTTTGCTTCCTGTTCTGTAGCAAAGGGAAAGGGAAGGGGCAGAGGGAAGCTTAGGCTGCCACTGCCTGGCTTCAGAGCTTCTTCAGGCGACTGTACATCTCTCTTTTGCTCTTTTCCCCCGCCCAGGTCCGACTCTTGGTGCGGAACTTCTTGAGGTCTTCTTTAAAGTCTTCATGGTGCATTGGTCGGTAACTAGGGGGCTCACAGTGGGACTAGAGGAACATGAGAATAAGAGGACAAGGTCAGGACGCTCCCCACACAATCTGGCTTCCCCTTGCCTAGAGCTGAAGACTGAGGCTTAGTGGATGCTCATCTTGTCCCCAGAACCCCAGCAAGCAGAACTATGAACCCATGGTCCAGCATGGACACACGCTCACTAGACACCTCACCTGACATTTCAGGAAGAACTCCTTGTATCCCCCCTTTAGGACATACAGCTCAGGGTAGTGGAGTTTGGGGTATTCATTGCCAAGCCTATCTCTTTCTCTCACATATCGACACCTAGTAGAAAGGAATGAAGGAGAAAGTCAGGTCGCCTCTTTTGGTGAATGGGAACTGGAGACAACAGTCGGTGGTCCAGGTACTCCTTCCTAAGAACACACTGCTGACACCACCTGCAGTAGCAGCCTACAACCAACCTGCCCACTCTATTTCCTCTAGCAACTCCCCCATCACCTTCTTCCTTCCTATGCCTTTAGAAAGACTACTCTCTACACTTCCTGGGAGTAATGGAACCTTCGTCTCACTAGTCCATCCACACTGCCCAAACCTGCGTACATGCTACAGTTTCTATGCCTTACAAAATATAAATAAATAGCCGGGCGGTGATGGTGTACACCTTCAATCTCAGCACTTGGGAGGCAGAGACAGGTGGATCTTTGTGTGATCAAGGTCAGCCTGGTCGACAGAGCAAGTTCCAGGACAGGCACCTAAGATAGAGACCATGTCCTGAAAAAACCAAAACAAACGTAGGTCCAATAGTTTGAATTTATCTACTTCTCTGTATTACTGAGGATTGAACCTAAAGCCTTGTGCTTGCTAGTCAAGCACCACCAAGACATGCATTTTCCAGTCCTTACTGTAACCTTTTTCTTTTATTGAGCCCCCACGCATGCTCAGCCTCACCAATGTACCATTAATGAACGGCTGCGCTGCATTTTATTGTCTCAATGGTATCTGCTATATAGCAGGTATCTACTCTCCTATTCTTTTGGTGCTGGGCTTGAACCAGGACCACACAATAGACAAGTGCTCTATCACTGTCTTGAGCGAGACCACCAGCCTGTCAGAAGTTAAGTTTCTTTGATACAGGGTGTCATGTAGCTTGGGTGGCCTGGGGACTTCAGAGGTGACATTTGTATAAGAAACAACCGCTTGATATTTAAACGTGTTACATGAGATCAATAAGTAGAGCTAAACAGTGGGGGAAAATGGGCGTCAAAGGAGACAGAGGTCAAACATGGCATTTGAGCGAACACTAGCTAAGTCCATAAACTATACTCAAGAAATCTGCTTAGAGCCAGGGGGTGGTGGTGCACACCTTTAATCCCAGCACTCGGGAGGCAGAGGCAGGAGGATCTGCAGATTTCTGAGTTCGAGGCCAGCCTGGTCTACAAGAGCTAGTTCCAGGACAGGCACCAAAGCTACAGAGAAACCTCGTCTCGAAAAACAAACAAACAAAAACAAAGAATTCTGCTTGGGTGGTGTTGATGGCCTTTTATCCCAGCACCTGGACTGCAGAGAAAATTCCAGAACAGCCAGGATTACACGGAGAAACCCTGTCTCAAAAAGGCTCAGCAGATAAAGGTGCTTGACAACCTGAGTTGATGCAGAAATCCACATGGTAGAACAGTCTCAAGCTGTCTTCTGAACTCTACGAACACAATGTAAGTAAACAGCAATAATTTTAAAAGGCTGTTTGTGAAACAAATCACTGACTAGGAAACAGAATCAAGGGAAATTATGTTATACAGAGAATCGGCTCTCATAGAAGCCAGGTTTACATGTCATGTGCAGACTAAAGCACTAGAGTGACCTGAAGTGTACACAAGAGAGTGCCTGACAGGCTACCATTTTGCTGCTAGTGAAAAAAGAAGACTACCAGGCTCCACAAAATATCATGAAGCTTCTGCCCCCCCCCAAGCCTTATTCATGTGGTACTTACATGCGAGGGCCTCTTTCAGAAGAAAACTCACAGTGGAACACGACAATGACACGCTTGCCATCGGTAGGCACGATAGGTTTCTTGAGCAAGAAGTCCTCAACCTCTTCTTCCATGTGCAAGTTCACAGCACCCTTTGAAGACACCAGATCCTGCTGAGTCACACTTGAAGTAGAGACTCAATGAGAGCAAGCCCCTCAGACTAGTTCACAACTCTGCAGATCTCAATGAGGCTTTCTCTGTAGGTCTATATACTTAGCCCATTCAGCAACAAATGTAAGAACTAGGAATATCTCAAATTTAAAGTGCTGGGCCACCACATTTAAACACTGCTTTATAGGGTATTAAAGTGTTGTTTTGTGACCGGCTCCTTTCTTTCCAGAAATATGTGTTCTAACATGACCTTCCACCAGGTAGACACCTTGATTATAGAACAGAGGCCTGGTACAAAGATTAAGGCAGGCATGTTGCTGGACTGGTCAAACATTTATATTTATTATATCTCAAATGCTATGGAACCCTTTGTGGCTCCATTGCACAGCTTAGACAACAGGGATGCCACCTAGAAAGGTCCTGCAACAGGAAAGCATGAGGGTCAGACAAGGGAGAGAGCACTGCAACGCAGCAGTAGAGGAACTAACGGGAACATTCATTCCGTTCACACCTATTGGCTTGCTCTAAATTCTCACCATCAGCTGAGAGGCATCAATACCCCACCTTTAAGCCCCCTATGAAAATAAGTCTCAAGAATCCAAACCTTGATGTGACCTCCTTCATATTCATATGGGTATCGGCAGTCAATAATAACAAACTCTTTAATGAGATTGGCAAACTTGCCATTCAAAACAGATGCCATCTATGAAGAGAAAGGACGGTGGGGTGTCAATGTTAGCAGTCAGGTAACAAGATTCCAACTTCCTATGTGCAGTGGGTTCCACAAGTCTGACTTACAATTTCTGGAGAAATATATTTCAAATCTTGATGCTTCCCAGAGACCGTATGGAAGAGATAACCCTTTAAAAAAGGAAACAGAAGATACTTAGGGGAATGTGAAAGTTTAAGAATGCCGTTCACTCTGCTGCCCCACCAGTAGGAAGCAGCTCAAAAAAACAAACCCAGAAACAAACATAAATGAATGGTATATGCTAATTACCCTTCTGTGCACTTAACTAACCCCTGGACATATAATGGTTGTTTGTTAAGGAAGCAAGTTCTCATTATGTAGACCAGTCTGCTCCAAACTCATTGAGATGTGCCTGCCCCTGGGATTAAGGGCATGAGCCACCATGTTCAGCTTTGAGGCAGTATAGGCCAGGCTGGCTGGCTAGGAACTAGTCACCCTGAGGTTAGATTTGAACACAGCTGATTTCCTTTTTCCCTCATTTTTAGTCAGGAACACACAGTGGCTAGAGTATGAAGACTTAGAAACGCAGTGAGGAGAACCAGATAGTCGCTGAAGCATGCAATAACAGCCTTTGAGGAAGAGGCAGGAGGGCCATAAAGGTTACCTCCAGCCTGAGTGGGATGTGAGATGAGGGAACAGCCTAAGATGACTTTAGAGACCCCGCCTTGGAAGGGAGACAATTTGTTCATCTGATAAGCACCTGGTTGCCCAGCATGGAGTTAGGCAATGAGAATGGAAAGACAGGCTTGGTCCAGCCCTAAGAGGAACGTGGCAGTGTTACTTAGAGGACAACTAGCCCAACTAAGAGCTTACCCATGACCACAAGACAAACAGCCAACAGTCTCAACTCAAGTTGAATGTTACACAGGGCTTTACCTATTTTTCTCTTCAAATTCCCTGTTCTCTCTTTTTATTTTTTGGGACAGGGTATCTATGTGTTGATTATTATTTTTATAGTCAGAAGCCCAGTTCCCAGAAACCTGCACTATGGGTCAGAGTGAAGGTGGGTAGCCACACAGGAAACCACTAAGCTAGCAACAGTCTCAAAGACCAACATGAACCTCATCATCAGAAGCTCAACTTGTTCCTTATCTTTTACTTTTTAAACTGTTGCCTTGGAGGTATCCCAGGAGCCATCTTGAGGAAGGAGAAAAGCTAAGTAGGGTTCTAGCTACCCCCACCACCTCCCTAGCACAGTCCCAACTAGATAATGCTTCTTGCAATTACCTTGGAGAAATCCCCTATAAGGTCTCTTGGGTCACTGTCCAAAATGTTCTCAATGGTTCCTTTGGGTGAAGATGTCAGGGATAAAGACTGGTGTAGAAGCTGTAACAAACCAAAGGTAGAAGTTGACCCCAAGGTTTTGACTGAACTCCTAAAAATATCTACCTTGGCCATGGCAGGAGACTGGAATAGGGATGACTACACCAAGGGTAAGAAATTGTGATCAATCAGAAGGAAAAAGATAGGTCCTATTCGGGAGGCAGAGGCAGGTGGATCTCTGTGAGCTTGAGTCCAGCCTGGTCTACAAAGGGAGTTCCAGGACAGGCTCCAAAGCTACAGAGAAACCCTGTCTCGAAAAACCAAAAGAAAAAAAGAAAAAGAAAAAAAAAAGATAGGTCCTATTATTTATTAAATAGTTGAATTTTTCTGAAAACCCCCTCTATCCTTTTTACCGTGTATCCTTGGCTGGCCTGGAACTCTGGAGCTTGCTAATGGAGACCAGGCTAACATCAAACTCAGAGATCCATAAGGATTACAGGTATGACCCACATATCTAGCAACTTTCTTTTTCATTGTTCATAAAGAGACTATTAAGCTGATAATATCAAGCTGAGGCGTGGCAATACTAGAAATAAGGAGACTGCTACAAGCTTGAGCCCAGTCAAGGCTATATTTGCCTAAAAACAAACAAGAAAACAAAAAACAAATCCAATACCAAAACAGATCATTGTCCTGTATCTCACAAAATGAAATGTAATTACTTTATCTCAGCAGAGTCCACCAACTTCTGATAAGGTTGTTTTGTGAGAAAACAGACTCAAGAAGTTGTAAAGATCACTTAGATTAGAGCCTTCTGTGCTCTAGACTGTCCTCTCGCAGCCTGGCACAGCTCCAGCAAACAGGGACAAAAGGAACCACTGTGTAAGCAGGCCTGAAAACTAGTAATCTAGAAGCAACCTGAACATTTATATCCGGGGAGGGAGATTTGGACTTTGAACCAACCATTACACCCCCTCCTCCAAGGACAGAGTATAAATCTGTCAAAGGTATGATGAGGCCAGAGAGGCAGCTCAGAGGGTGAAAGTACTTGTATATTATATGCCTGCTAGCAATCCTGGGAACCCATGGTGGAGAGAGACCAACTCTGGGAAATTGTGGTCTGACCTCCCCACAAGTCATGGCATCCACAGGTATTGCACCAAAAAGTATTATCTAAAAAAAAAAGAAGAGGGTGGAGATGAGTGAGCACCTTAAGATTCTTTCCCAAGCCCAGCCTGTCAGGTTAGAGCTTAGAGACAGCTCCGGACAGCTGTCTTTGATGATAACCCCCTCCCCCACTTCACTTAGATCACTGTACCCTTAGAGTACACAGTACTTTCTCTAAACCCTATTTCCCATTAAAAGAAACCACAGTGGTGTCTTTAATCCCAGCACAGAGGCAGGAGGATCTGTGAGTTCAAGGCCAGACTGGCCTACAGAATGAGTTCCAGGACAGCCAGGGCTATAGAGAAACCCTGTCTCCAAAAAAACCCAAAAACTCAAACCAAACAAATCTGGGCATAGTAGTGATTCCAGCACTAGGGAGACAGGAATTAAAAACTCAAGATCCCCCCAACAAAAGAGCTGGGCAATGGTGGTACAGGCCTTTAATCCCAGCACTCAGGAAGCAAAGGCAGGTGGATCTCACTTGATAGACAAGGCCAGCCTGGTCTACTGAGGGAGTTCCAGGACAGGCCCCAAAGCTAGAGAAACCGTCTCGAAAAACCAACAACAAACAAAACCATACAGGGGCCAGTAAGACGGCACAGCAAGATTCTTTGCTGCTGAGTTCTGCCTACACGGTAGAAGGGGATAAATGTCTCCACGCAGTCGCTGACCTCCACATGGTCATTGTGGCTACATGCCCCTACCCATAAAACCCAAACAAACCAACTCCCTGACCCCCGGAATAGAGAAATGGTTCAACAGTCAAGAACACTTGTAGGGGGCTGGAGAGACGGCTCAGAGGTTAAGAGCATTGCCTGCTCTTCCAAAGGGCCTGAGTTCAATTCCCAGCAGATGGTGGCTCACAACCATCTGTAATGAGGTCTGGTGCCCTCTTCTGGCCTGCAGGCATACACACAGACAGAATATTGTATACATAATAAATAAATAAATATTTAAAAAAAAAAAAGAACACTTGTAGAACCTAGTTTCCAGCATCCACATGGCAGATCACAACCACGAGCAATTCCAGTTCTAGTGCTCCAATGCCTTCTGACCTGTGGGTACCAGGCATGCGCACAAAACAATCACACACAGATCATTCAAAAAAAAAAAAAAAACAAAAAAAAAAAACAGCCAAACCCACAAAATAACAAAAGAATGAACTTCCACAAATCCAGATACGGTTTAAAACGAGATGTTCCTATAGTTGGAGCATTAATATGTGGTCCCTATTGATGACACTGCTTTGGGAGGCTCAGAAGTTATACTGCTAGAGGATTTGTCACTGGGTTTCGTTGTTCTTTTTTAAAAAAATATTTATTTATTATGTATACAATATTCTGTGTGTATGCCTGAAGGCCAGAAGAGGGCACCAGACCTTATGACAGATGGTTGTGAGCCATCATGTGGTTGCTGGGAATTGAACTCAGGACCTCTGGAAGAGCAAGCAATGCTCTTAACTGCTGAGCCATCTCTCTAGCCCTGTTCTTTTTTTATTGGTTGTTCAAGACAGGGTTTCTTTGTGTAGTCCTGGTTATCCTGGAACTCAGAGATCTGCCTGTCTCTGCTTTTGAGTATTAGGATTAAAGGCACATGCCATGATCTCCCGGTTAACAAACTCTTCTTTCTAAAGTTAGCTTTGTTATGGTGTTTTTTCACAGCAATGGAAAAGTAAGTGATACAAACACCTAAAATGAATAGCTAGCTATATACCACCAAATATTACTCAGAAATATAGAACAAATGCAACTCATATGCTACTATTGAATACACCATTCTGGAAAACTATTTGGCAGTATATGCCAAATCGAACCATGCTCTGGCCCATGACCCAGTGGCAACCCCTAGATTTGTGACAACTGTCAAGTTCTTTAACAAGACAGACAAAACTATAATGAGATCTGGTGCCCTCTTCTGACATGCAGGCAGAACACTCAATAATAAATAAATCTTTTTTTTAAAAAAAAGATACAGAACAGATAATGAATGAGAGACTGATAATAGTCATGTATGGTAGTGCATACCTGTAATCCCAGCACCAGGACAAAGACAAGAAGGTTACTTTAAGGTCCAGGCCAGCCTGAACATAGAGCAAGACCCTGCCTCAAAAGCCAAAGCAAAAGAAAAACCTAATAGAAACAAATAACACAACGCCTAAATAAATGAAACAGAACAGAAGAAAAAAAAAAAGCTGTATTTCACCATCAGAAACATTCTAGGCTAGGTGGTAGTACATTCCTTCAATGCCAGCAATGCAGAGGCAGAAGCTAGCTGATCTGCGTTCAAGGACAGTGTGGTCTATAGAGTTCCAGGACAGTTAGGAATATACACAGAAACCCCGTACCCTGTCTTAGAAAAATAGAGTAAGGCTTGGCAAGGATAGGACCATCGAGTAGAAATGTTTAGAACTGAAAGACAGTTATCACTCTAGACCAAAGGAGAGCTTGCACAACTAACCTCTTGGGTTGGCTCTATAACATCTGTTTTGACAGGACTGGACACACTCTTCCTCCGCTTCGTGCTTCTTCGAGGAGACTCTTCATGAGATCGTTCTGTTCTCTTCAAAAGGGACCGAGTGCTGGAGCTGCTGCTGGAGCTGCACGGGGAAGGGGAGTCAAACAGCCTGCACCGATTGCCCTTAGGGTAAAAGAGACAGATCCACACTGGATTAAAATTTGACCACTTAAATAACAATCAGTCTAAAACCTAGGTCTTAAATCCTAGGTTATTCCAGTCAACATAGTTAAGGACTACTTTGTTCAGTGGCTCAACTACTCAAAACTCCACATACCGGAATAACTTACAAGGTTTGTAGGTCTTCTCATGACAAGGGGAGCTGTCCAGAGGCTTGCCATGCATGAAGGGGTCTCTTCATCATTCTAGAGGAAGAGAAAAACTGCTTTTAAAGAGATCCAGCAGAGGAAAAGGAAGAAAAGGACCCAGCCCAGATTAGCATTAATCTAAATGCTTTGTAATTAACTTTCCTAAAGAATGCCAAACATGTCTGAATAATTTTTGTTTTGTGATTGGAGAAAGAGCCTAGAGCACAGGCTGGCCTCACTGGTAGTTTATGGCAACCTTGTTCAGCATCCTGTATTTTGAGATTACAGGCATGCACCACCAGGGAGGGCTAGTACAAAAGAACTTGAACCTTGCTATATCTTAGCTACAGAAGTATCTGAAGAGCTGGCTCAGCAGTTAAGAGAACTGTTTGTGCAGGACTTTGTCCTGTCTACATTCTGCTTACTTTCTTTCATTTGTCTGGCTTCCCTCTGAGTAGTGTTTCATTATAAATATCCATTGTACTTTGATAACTACACTAAAATGAAGAGGATGTTTGTAACCAAAAAAAAAAAAAAAAAGAACTGTTTGTTCTTCCAGAGGACCAGGGTTCAATTCCCAGCATCCACATGGCAGCTCACAACTGTCTAATTCCAGTTCCAGAGGATCTGACACCTCACACAGACATACATGCAAGCACAATACCAATGCACATAATATAAAAACCCTAAATTTAGAAGACGTGTATAATTATGAAATAATAAACTTAAAAAACACATTCTTATTTCCCTACTCCTGAAAGCCCGGCTAGCAGTAAGATAGAAGGACCTCACCAGTATCATGTGACCTTCCATGCTGCAATAGGATTTAGTCAAGCAGGGAAGTCTCAATAATCTCATAAAATGAACTAATCAGCCAGCTGAGACCCCAGGAACTGTTTTTATGTAGGAGGCTTCTCCAGTGGTGTCTAGAATGTAGGCATAACCATGCACCCACAGATACCTTTAGATTCTCTCCATCCAGAAGATCTATGAAGCCATCATCCTCATCAGACAAAGTGGCTTTCACAGGTGACTGGGATGTAAAAAGAGGACTGAAGTTTCCAGACTCACTGCTATCACCTTCATTTGAAGAGAGCTGGAAGACAAAATAGAAGACATGCAAGTGCACCATGTGAACCTGGTGTCCTCAGAGGTCAGGGGAAAGCAATGGGTTCCCCGGTCCTGAGAGAGGGTTTCTCATGTAGCTGCGACTGTTCTGGAATTCACTCTATAGACCAGACTCTGAATTCACAGATCACCCTGCTTCTGGGATTAAGGGTGATCACCACTGCCTAGCTCATGAGCTTATATGCACTACCATGTATAAGCTGCGATAGTATATATAAGATGGAAACAAGGGAAACCTGTTCACCCCCACAAATGTTTGATTCTTAGCATCCACCTCAGACGGCTCACAGCTTCCTGGAGTTGTAGGTCCATGTGATCCTAACCTCTGGCCCCCTCAGGCATCTATACTCATATGCACCCCCCCCACATAATTAAAAATAAAAATGATTTTAGACAGGCAGCCGTGACACACACCTTTAATCCTAGCATCTGGGAGGCAGAGACAAGCAAATGTCAGAGTTAAAAGCCAGCCTGGTCTACAGAGTGAATTCCAGGACAGCCAGAACTACAGAGAAACCCTCTCTCAAAAACCAAAAAAGAAGAATTAAAAGAAAACATATCTGCTCAATTTTAAATTGAGGGATTATGATTATGTCCTAGACATTACAACAAAATCTTTGCAGCTATAACCTCATTTAAACCCCAGGACACTGTCACTTTAGTTAATCCCTGTGTTCTTCCTCAAGACTAAGGGCTCCCAGACTCCACCCTGCATTAGCTGGAACTACCTGTACCAACATACTCAAAGAATCCTGTTTTTTGTTTAATAAAAGGAAACTGATGTTTAAGGTTCCCAGAGCAGACACCTCACCTATTTGACACCCAAACCTGGAAACCAGTTGGCTGTGGTGGCAAACACTAGTAATCCTAGAGACAGGAGCATTATGAGTTCAAGAAGTTTTAAACTACATAGAAAATTTGAAGCTAGCCTGGGGTTTAAGAGATTCTGTCTCAAAAAATGCAAACAACAACAATCTCAATTCTATAAACAAAAGCCAAACCAGTAAAATTAACACCGGCTTTTTAAAAGTCTGCAGCACCTATAACTATTAGTGCCTTTAATGATCAAGCAATCACAGAAAATCTTGGCATTCTGATTCCCAAGCATCCACCAAATATTTTCTATTTCAGTATATTCTCAAACTGTTATGAACTAGAGAATCTACAGTTAAATTCTGGTCTACTATTTACATGTCTTTTGTCAAATAAATCAGCTTCTCTAATGAAACTTCCTAATCTGCCAAATGAGGTAACTCCAGATAATTCACAGGCCCCAGCCTTTCAAATGCTGGGTTTACAGACATGAGTCAACTAAAATAATAGTAAACTTCCTTAAAAAAAAATTTATTTCGCCGGGCAGTGGTGGCGCATGCCTTTAATCCCAGCACTTGGGAGGCAGAGACAGGTGGATCTCTATGAGTTCGAGGCCAGCCTGGTCTACAAGAGCTAGTTCCAGGACAGGCTCCAAAGCCACAGAGAAACCCTGTCTCAAAAAAAAAAAAAAAAAAAAAAAAAAAAGAAAAAAGAAAAAACAAAACAAAACTAGGATTTCATGTAGCCCAGGCTGGCCTTGAAATCATGGCAAAGCTGAAAAAAAATCTTGAATTTCTGGCCCTCCTCCCTTTACCTTCCAAGTGTTTGGGTTATAGGCATTCACCATACGCTCAGCATTAATAAATTTCATACTGGCACAACACACATGAATGCATGCACACAGGACTGCAGTGTTGTAAATCCTATTCCCATGATGAGTTCCCTATATGAAAGTCACAACACATACCATACGAGCTGGGGCTGAGTTCTGCCTGTATGTGAAGAGATCTTTATTCTCCTCATGTACATGAACAGTGAAGCAGCCACGAGATGCAGGTCTTACAGGCTTTTTAAATTCAAATGCTTCCTGCAAAACAATATTCAATATATTTTCTACTGTCCATAAAAAACAGCTTTAAGGCTGGTGGGATGGCTTGGCAGGTAAATAAAGTTGCACATACATGGTACACCAACACAAAAGTAAAACACCCATAAACACAAAAATGCATGCATCCAACCTTTTTTTTAAAAGATTTATTTATTATGTATATAGTATTCTGCCTACAAATATCCTATAGGCCAGTAGAGGGCACCAGATCTCATTACAGATGGTTGTGAGCCATCATGTGGTTGCTGGGAATTGAACTCAGGACCTCTGGAAGAGCAGCCAGTGCTCTTAACCTGAGCCACCTCTCCAGCCCCATACATCCAATCTTAAGTACTAAAAACAGCAACTGCTAGTAGCAGTTTTTATATTACTAAATACTTTCTGAACATAAACTTGTCTAACCATCGAATACAGCCTGACTGCTCCTATTTTACAAGTAAGGAAAATAGACCTCCTCCCTCCCACCCCCAGTTAGGGTTTTTCAGTGTAATAGTCCTGGCTGTCCTGGAACTTTCTATAGACCAGGCTAGCTTCAAAATGGAAACTAGGTCTTCCAGATTAGATCTTGAAGGACACCTCCAGAAAGTTCTTTAGCCTATGTTATTATTCCTGTTTAGAACAAAGCTTCCAGGAAGGCAGCCTTGGAGAAGTCAAGCTTGGATCAAGAGCCAGTTTACACAACTGTGGTCTGGTAGCACTAGAGGTGGACAGACTGTCCCATGCACACAAGGGAATCCATGGCACAAACAGAATCTATGTTCCTACAGGCAATTGGTTTTATATTAAACCTGGAAATTTTAAGGGTGATAAACTCTGGCATTTTAGTAGGGAATGGAAAACAATCAACATACGAAAGTAGAGTGAGCGGCTGCTTTAGACACGGCACCCTACAAAGTGTAGGGGGAAAGTCAGGCTTCTAGATGAACCACATCATCCTCAAAGCCACTATTTCAGATATTCTGAGACTCACAGAACTCGCATGCCTTTGGATTTTGGCTCAATATTCTAGTGTTTATATTCTTGGCAGTTATTCACAGAAAATAAGGTGTAAGGAAAACATGCTGCTAGGTAGGCCCAGTGTGGAATGTTTTCCAAATACAATACAGATTTTCACAAGCTTGCAAGTCACCTAAGTGTTAGAGCCAAAAGGAAAAACCTTGAGTAAACACTTCTAGAAAAAACTATTTATGGATATAATTATACCTCACAAAATCTACTTACTAAAATCCAGCCACATTTACCTGCCAGGTACCATTCTAAATTCTTGACATATAAGCGGCCAACAGACATTCCTGCAGCAGACTTCTCTGCAAAGGCCCGGTGTGGCTTTCCATAACTTAGTCATTAGGCAGCAGCCCAGCCACCTGGCTTGTAAGCCACTGACACTGGGAGGCTTCCCTCCCAGTCTGGGTTACCCTGTGGATACTATACTCACGTTTTCCTTATTTTCATCCTGATCGATGAGCTGAAAGATGTCATGGTCTAGTGAATCAGAATGGCTCCTCTTTAGCGCTGGGCTACAACCCAAGAGTTTCTGCTACCAAAGAAAAAAAGAGAAATTGAATTCAGTAAAGAAACACAATGGAAAATTCAGTTTTCCTTTTTATTTTTTTGAGATAGGGTTTCACCCTGCATCCCAGGCTGGCCTTGAGTTTGAGATAATCCTCCTGCCTCAGTCTCCAAGTGCTAAGATTATAGGTTTGACCCGTTACACCCAGCCAAAACCTCATTTTTGAGACAGGGTTTCTCTATGTAACAGCTCTGGCTGTCCTGGTGCTTGCTCTGTAGACCAGGTATCAATCAAACTCAGAGATCTGTCTGTCTCCACCTCCCAATGCTGGGGTCACCACCGCCTGGCTCAAAACCTCCATTCTTAAAGAAATGAAGTGAGGGTTGGGAGAGCTAGCTTCCCATATACTACAGCAGATAACCAGTAAATGTGACCAACACTATAACTTAGAATGGCCTTACGCCTAATTATATAAGGCTTATAGCCCCTTTGGCAGGTATATTATAGTGCCAAACCTAGTACCAGTTGAGTAATAGGACCTTTCCTGGTTTAATAAACTGGGACTGAGGACAAAGTCCACAAGAGGCAGACTGTTGAAGCTGTTCTAGGTAATGCCTTACTGCTCAGTCTTAGAAATGTAGGTGCTGCTGACATTTGGGGGCAGTTTACAGTTATTAGCTCAAAATGACAATGGAACTTACAGGTAAGGAATGTATTCTCCTCAGGGAAATTTCAAGGCTGTAATGAGATCAGAAGGTAAATGTGAGAAGAGGTATGTATATCAGCAGATTCACATTGCTTAACCTATAGTTTGGGGAGTGGGCGGGCAAGTCAGGTTCTCATTGTAGCAAAGATATACAAGAATGAATGTCTAAAGCTTCTCCAGTCCCAGGAGCAACCCAAAACACTAGGCATCGAGACTGAAAAACCTGGTATCTCTTAAAATACATACATTCATTTAAGGCTTTAATGCCAAAAGGTGGAGCAAGGGAAACCACAGCTAAGAAAAAGGAGGGAATATCCTGGCAACTGCTGACACTAAACAATGTATTCATTCTCAGCAGTGTTTCTGGGATCCAAGCATCTCACTGCGAACAGCCAACTGCAGAGGTCTAGCCCACTGCATGAAATATTCACCCAAAGATTAGCAAGTCTGGACAACAAGTAAGTGCACACAAGTTTAATCTCAGCACCCAGGAGGCAGAAGCAGGTATATCTGAGTTCCAGACTAGTCAGGGCTACATAATGAGATCCCGTATCAAGAACCAATGAACAAGTTTCTGTCCTCTTCTTTTTAGCAAATCCAGGGCCTCACACACGCCACACAAGCACCATCACTGAGTTCTTCATTTTCTTTTATTTTTAAAAAATAATTTATCTTTATTTTATATGCATTGTTGTTTTGCCTGCATGTGTGTCTGTATGAGGGTGTCAGATCCCCTCAGTTACCGAACAGTTGTGAGCTGCTATGTGGATGTTGGGAATTGACCTCAGGTCTTCTGGAAGAATAGCGAGTGTTCTTAACCACTAAGCCATCTCTCCAGCCCCTTCACCTTTATTGAGATAGGGCCTTGAATCTCTGACCCTTCTGCCTTAACTTCCCAAGCAGCTGAGACTACAGCCTGTGCCAGTAGGCCTGATTAAGGAAAACTTTTCTTCTAAGCATAAAAGTTAAAAGCAAGGAATACATACTTTTCTTTACTGTCCAAGGGCCCAGGAGAATCTAGACAGAAACCTTTGAGAAATAAAAACAAAATTCTTAGGAAACAATGTTTTTAAGTAACATTTTCTAACTATTCCACAGATTCTCTTCTATTTTCAAATACCAATAAGGAAACAAGATTCAAGAGACAACTGATATCAAGACTGCTTTTCAGATAAGCGTGACCCATAGCCTTGTGGAATTATTTTATTTTCAAATCATATAACTAATTTATGGGAATGAAAAATATAACCATCTAGGTATGAGTTCCAAGAGGCCAGTCTGCTGTACACAGTGAGACTGTGTCTTAAAGAGTGGACGGAGCATCAGAGAAATGCAAATCAAAACAACTCTGAGGGACTGGAGAGATGGCTCAGTGGGTAAGAGCACTGTCTGCTCTTCCAGAGGTCCTGAGTTCAATTCCCAGAAACCACATGTTGGCTCACAACCATCTGTAATGAGATCTGGCGCCCTCCTCTGGTGTGTGGGCATACATGGAGGCAGAATGTTGTATACATAATAAATAAATCTTAAAAAAAAAAAAAAAAAACTCTGATATTCAATCTTATACTTGTAAGAATGGCCAAGGTCAAAAACACTGATGACAGGGCTGGAGAAATGGCTCAGCGGTTAAGAGCATTGCCTGCTCTTCCAAAGGTCCTGAGTTCAATTCCCAGCAACCACATGGTGGCTCACAACCATCTGTAGTGAGGTCTGGTGCCCTCTTCTGACCTTCAGGCATACACGCAGAAAAAATATTGTATACATAATAAATAAATAAATAAATAAATAAAAAAAAAAAACCACTGATGACAACTTATGCTGGAGAGGTTGTGAGGAAAAGGGAACACTTTTGCTTTGCTGGTGGAAATGCAAGTTGGTACAACCCCTTTGGATGTCAGTGTGATTTCTCAGAAAATTAGAAAACAACCTTCCTCAAGACCCAGTAATACCACTTTTGGGTATATATCCAAAGGATGCTCAATCGTGCCACAAGGACATGTGCTCAACTATGTTCAAAGCAGCTTTGTCATAGCCAGAACCTGGAAACAACCTAAATGCCCCTCAACCAAAGAATAGATAAGGAAAATAATGTACATTTACACAATGGAATACTACACAGAAGAAAAAAATATTGGCAGCTTGAATTTTGCAGGAAAATGGATGGAGCTAGGAAACATTATTGAGTGAGGTAGCCCAGACCCAGAAAGACAATTATCACATGTACTCACTCATAAGTGGTTTTTAAACATAAAGCAAAGAAAGTCAGCCTACAAACCACAATCCCAGAGAACTTAGACAACAATGAGGACCCTAAGAGAGACATACATGAATTTAATCTACATAGGAAGTAGAAAGTATAAAAAGACAAGATCTCCTGAGTAAATTGGGAGCATGGGGATCTTGGGGGAGGATTGAAGGGGGAGGGACAGGGAGGGGAACAGAGAAAAATGTAGAGATCAATAAATATCAATAATAATAAGAAGAAGAAAAGACGGGGCTGGAGAGATGGCTCAGTGGTTAAGTGCACTGGCTGCTCTTCCAGAGGTCCTGAGTTCAATTCCCAGCAACCACATGGTGGCTCACAACCATGGTGGCCAACCTGGTCCACAGAGGGAGTTCCAGGACAGCCAGGACTACACAAAGAAACCTTGTCTCAAAAAACAAAAAAAAAGTGGTACAGAGACAATTCAGAAGAGCGAGCGCAGCTATTCTTGCAGAGGACCAGAGTTCAAGTCCCAGCAACCACGTGGCTTCTTTGTCTTGAACTCCAGTTCCAGGGAATCTGACATCCTCTTCTGGCCTCCAAGGAAATCTATGCACATGGCATGTAATATGAGAGTCATGCAGGCAAAATACCCACACATATAAAATAAAAATGAAGTTATTTTTAAAAAGAAAAGAGACTCAAGCTGGAGAGATAGCTCAGAGGTTAAGAGTTTAATTCCCAGCAACCACATGATGGTTTACAACCATCTGTAATGAGGTCTGGTGCCCTCTTCTGGCCTGCAGGCATACACGCAGACAGAATATTGTATACATAATAAATAAAAAAGAAAAAAAAGAGACTCAACACTTATTTTCTCTTCATAAACTGCTCCCTTCACACTGAACAGCATGTCACGCCATGCCATGATTTCTACACGTAGTGTTACCAGTTAAGTTCCTAGGAAAAAGACATGACGCGGGAAGTTCCCAATAGTACTCTCCACATGGCTGGCTTAAAGGTGAATGGCAAAGATCGAACAAATACCTGGATCCGGCTGGGGCACAGTAATCCACACCTTTAACCATAGCACACAAGAGGTAAGAGACAGATGGATTTCTGAGTTTGATCCCAATGTGATCTACATATAAATTTGGACTGAAGAGCTGGTTCACTGGTTAATGGCACCTGGTGCTACTGTAGAGGGACAAATTCAGTTCCCAGCACCCAAATCAGACAGCTCACAGTGGCCTGTAACTCTCCAGTTTCAGGGCCTCTTCTAAATGCCTTCTGATCTTGGCAGGCACCACCATATATGCGTGCACACACTCATACATAATAGTACCTGAATCTGTCGATTCAGAGGAGCCCATTCTCTGTAGACTGCTGTTGTTTCTCACCTCCATTAGCTTCTCACACTCACTGAAACCAAGAGAAATACCTCCGCATGAGAAATTCCTAGGACATAATTAAAAAGCAGCCAGGCTGCCGAACTATTATTCTGAGACGAAACCAAGGCCACCCCACACTCACACTTGGCCACCCAGAACCCAGTTGGCATTTGAACAAAGAAAGGAGTGGGTCTGGCCTTGGGCCACATTGTAGGCCATGCCTGTGGCAAATGCTGGGTTATTTCCTTAAAGGAGAGGTACTATGCTGGGAGGGAGGGCAAAGGTAGGGAGGACAGGAATCCCAGCTCTTCAGGGGCTGGAAAAATCCTGACCTGTTTAGAAAAGGAGAGTCCCACGACTGAAGGAAAAATAACTTCACTAAAAATAGAGGAATCTGTTTTTGCTGTTGTGGTAGTGTAGCGCACGAATATTTCCAACACAGAAAAGTTAAGTAGAAAGGGCTAGCTAGAAGGTAGACGGGGAGCTGGAAGAAACGTGCCGGCCAAGAGCCTGCATAGACTTTGCAGAAATCCAAGAAAAGAAAATGCCATGTCCCTTTGTTGAGAAGGAACAAAGCTTACAGGAAACTCAGATCCGGCGCGGCTGTTCAGCATAAAAAGTAGAAGTGAGGGCCTAGGAGGGCCCATTCCCCCCTCTGGGGGTAGATGCCAGAGTTCCCTGGAACAGAGACAGAGTACAGAGAAATCTGAAGGGGGTCAACAAGATACTCAGCCCAGCAGTCTCCCTCGCTCCCCGGTCTGGCTCGGGCTGAGGATAGCCCTGGACTATCCGAACGGCCTCTCCCGCCCAACATTCTGCCCGGGGGGAGGGTGCACATGGCGGGTCCTGGCCAGGCCATCCCGAATCCGAGCATCAGGACCAGCTGGACAAACCCTGCGTCCTGCTAGATCATCCCAAGGGTCGACCAAAGGCCAGCGGCCTGGGGCATCGCTCGCCGGTCTCTCACCTGCCCAGCCCTTCCAGCTGGTCCATGGTGACCGTCAGGTTGGTGACAGGGGACAGTCCGCCAGCAGCCGACGCGCCAAACAGCGCCTTCCCCGTGGGCTGCGGAGCAGGAGTTGGGCTGCAGAAGAGCAGGCGGCGGCGGTGGGGGGGCTCCGGGCCCAGTTCCATGGCGCCGCCGGGCCTGCCCGGACTCCCGCTCCGTCTTCCTCCGCCTCCGCTGCGCCGGGCCCCGCCCCGCTGGCACCGGCTTCAGCCGCGTGCCACGCCGCCAGCGCCCGCGGGTCAAACACAAACACGACCCCGCGGTTCCGAGACGCGACCGCCACGGGCAGCGGCGCGGACGGGCGAGCGTCGGGGACTCGGCAGGCGCCGGCCACAGGCACCGGTGCTTCCCTCTCGGCCCCGCGAGGCCCGCAGGCGGGCGGGCGCCTGCAACCTCGAGATTAAATCCAAACAAACTCCGCGGGCCGAGAGTCTCGAGGCGACCGCCCGGAATAACTAGCCTCCTTGCTCCGTCCCCGACGAGCAAAGAAGCAACCCTCACCACCGTCACCACCAAAGTGGCCTTAGCGTTAATTGCTGCACAACTAGGAACGCCGCCGCCCCGCCCCTTTCCTACTTGGCGCCAAACAGAATTCACCAATCAGGAAGCAAACTTCCCCTCGCTCCCGAATGACAGCTGAGCTGGACCAATAAGAAGGAAAAGAGGAAGACTCTCGCGGGCCTCCTCGAAGCCACTCCCTCTCTCAGGCCGAGCTAGGCCTGAAGAGTTGGGAGGTGGCAGAAATGAGAAGGGGGCTCGGAAGTCAAGGAAACTCCCTGCGGGGCGCTAGTCCGGACGGAAAGGCCGGCTGCTCTTTTCCAGTTGCATCCTGGGTAGTGTAGTTCCCGCGCTGCACATCCCTAGGGGGCATACGGACTAGAAGGCCACCTGGACCTAGTTTTGACTCTTCTCTAATTATGTAGCACCATGGATCCCTCCTTTCTTTCACAAGCATCCAAGCTCTGATTTTGTTTGGTTGGTTTTCTTCCTTCCTTTCTTTCTTTCTTTCTTTCTTTCTTTCTGTGTGTTTGAGACAGGATGTCTCTGTATTCCTGGCTGTCCTGGAACTCACTCTGTAGACCAGGCCGGCCTTAAATTCAGAGATCCGCTTGCCTCTGCCTCCTGAGTGCTGAGATTAAGGACTCCAGGCTATAATTATATTAAATTATATGTTTTTGAAATAGTGATTTCCTCTGTAGCCCAGGCTGGCCTCGAACTCGTGGTAATCCTATTGCTTAGGTGAGACACACCATACTCTGTCAGGCTTGGGGTTTTTTTTATATGGAAAAAGAGATGGAAAGACTGCTAGGATTGAACTGACCACGAGTGTTAACAAATTCTTGTTCTTGTTGCGGCAGGAGAGGTAAAATCTATATACAATATGACCTTAGCATCCTTTATGTTTTTTGTAGGCTCTCAGATCATTCCTTCTTTTTCATCCTTTCTTTCCTATTGGGAAGCTCTAGAGAGCAATGTTTCTAGTGAACTTGTTTTAGTTATTGTTTTATTTGCTGTGAGGAGATCCTATGGCTGAGGCTACTTACAGAAGAAAACATTTTTTGTTTGTTTCCCAGGTTTCTCTGGGTAGTCCTGGCCATCCTGAAACTATCCCTGTAGTCCAGGCTGACCTTGAATACAGAGTGCTGGGATTAAAGTTGTGTGCCACCACCGCCTGGCAGAACAAAGCATCTAATTGGGTATTTGCTTACACAGGGGTCAATCCATGATCAGTGGGAAGCAGAGAGGTGTGTGATAGAGCTGTCGTTGATCGTTCTGTCCTGATTCAGGGACAGCTACCAGACAGAGAAAGACCCTGGGCCCACCCCTAGTGACACAACTCCTCCAAGCCTCCTCGTCTTTCCCAAACAGTTCCATCAACTAGGGCTCAAACATTCAGTCATATGAGCCTTTGGAAGGAAGGAGCCACTACAACCAACTTTTAAAAATTTACTGTCTTGGGGCTGGAGAGATGGCTCAGTGGTTAAGAGCATTGCCTGCTCTTCCAGAGGTTCTGAGTTCAATTCCCAGCAACCACACGGTGGCTCACAACCATCTGAAATGAGGTCTGGTGCCTTCTTCTGGCCTGCAGACATACATACAGATAGACTATTGTATACATAATAAATAAATATTTTTAAAAAATGTACTGTCTTGAATTAGGCATGGTGGTGTACACTTGGGAGATGGAGACCAGAGAATGGTGTGTTTATAGTCTGGGCTGTACAGAGAGCCCCAGTGCTTACTGGGTGTGTTGGTGCACATCTTTGCTCTTGGGAGGAAGAGGCTGGTGGATTTCTGTGAGTCCGAGGCCAGCCTAATCTACAAAGGGAGTTTCAGGACTGCCAGGGCAATACAGAGAAACCCTGTCTTGAAAACAAACAATCAAAAAACAGAAACAAATGAGTAGGGCTTGGGCACACCTTTAATTCCAGCGCTTGCGAGTTCAAGGGCAGCCTGCTCTACAGAGTAAGTTCCGGGATAGCCAGAGATGTGTAGTTTGACCTTGTCTTGAAAGAGAGAGAGAGAGAGAGAGAGAGAGAAAAGGTGGGTAAAAAAGTAAAAACCTTTGTATGTTTTTAAATGACTGAAAGTACAAAAAATAATAGGTATCAAAGTTTTTTCCAGGAGTGGTAGTGCAAGTCTTTACTTTAATCTCAATACTCTGGAGGCAAAAGCAGTCAAGTCTCGATGAGTTTCATAGAGCTTGGTTTACATGGCAAGTTCCAGATACCCTGTCTCAACACAAGCAAAACATTTTATCAGCAGACCAGTGGGCTTAAGATGAAGCTCAGCTGGTAGAGTGGTTCCTGGTTTCAGTTCCCAGTACCACATAAAACCAGGCACAGCCTTAGGGTGCATGCCTGTAATCCCAGGATCTGTGAGGTAGAGGCAGGAGGATCATAAGTTTAAAGTCATCTTTATCTACATAGTAAGTTTAAAGCTAGCCTGGAATACAATGAGACCTGTCTCAAAAAGTAAAATAAGGGCCTACAGAAATGATTCAGTGATTAAGAACACTTGTTGCTCTTGTAGAGGATCTGGGTTTGGTTCCTAGTACCCACATTGGGGCTCACAACTATCTCTACCTCCAGTTCTTGGGGATCAGACACCTTCTTCTGACTTCGTGGGCACCAGCCATACCTGTGGTGCACATCTATACATGGAAGCAAAACCTTCATATACATAAATAGATTTAAAATAAAATGAATTTTACCAGGTGCATGCCTATAATTCCAGCCTTTGGAAAACTGAAGCATGGGAACCTCAAATCCAAGACCAGCTTGAGTAACATATTGAAACCTTGTGTCAAAAACAAAACAAAACAAAAGTTAACTAGAGTGTTTTGGGTAGAGCCATTAGCCACACTTTGCCTCCAGTGTCTTAGTGAGTCAATTAGACAAGTAAAATACAGAGAGAGATTTATTCAATATGACCAAGTTGGGAAGAAGAATATGAAGGAGTCCACCAACCTGTCTGTCTTGGGGTACTGACCTGCACTTTAGGTTTAAGTAGAGGACAAGACTGCATGATTACGCAATGCAATCCTGATTAAGATGCCGCCTTGAGTCCAGCACTGTCGGAAATCCCGCAAATTGCTAATCTTCCTTCGCTGGCATCCCTGAGGGACCAATCTGGAAAATGATTACTTCTGCTCCAGGGCTGTCCCACCCTCCTGGAGAATGACCTTCCTCTGGGTGCTTCTGTGTGGGGGTCTGCCCTGGGAAGTTCTGCTGTTTGCGGAATCCAGGGTTTCTCAGGAGGCCCATTGGGAGGGAAGGATGCCTTCCTCTAGGGCACTGAGCAAAACTGGGAGGGGTGAGTTCCTAGAAAACGGTCGTTTGGGGGTAGAGAGAACTCTCTAAGGAGAAGAGCACCCTAGGCGGCCTGCAGGGGGAGAAGGAATGTGACCCCGGCTGAGTTGCCATTGACTGGGAGTGGCTACCAGGACCCACGCTGGGAAAAGAGACAATACTTGGAGGGCGTAGGTTTTGATAAGGGGTTCAACCAGGAAACGTCAGCAAAGGGTGTGGAGATGGAGATAACGGGATCAGATTTGCTGTGGGCTTGGGGAAAGAAGTCTGAGGAGCCAGGAGACCAGCTAGTCCAACTGGGCGGTCCTGAGCCTGAAGCCTCAGGGACAAGAGAAGAGAGTACAGCCTTGGAAGATGATTTCCTTGGCCTGCCTGTCTTTCTTCTTTCCCTCCTTCCTTCCTTTTATATTTATTTATTCATTTCGTCTGTGAAGGTTAGCAGTTGTCTGTCACAGTATGCGTGTGGAATCAGAGGATGCCTCCTTGAAGGAAGTTTTCTCCTTCCTTCATGCGTGTCCTGAGGGGCAGACTCAAGTTGCCAGGCTTGGTGGCCAGACCTTTACCTGTTGAACCAGCCTACCTGCCCCCCCCCCTTTTTTCCTCCTTTCTTTTTTGGAGAAAGGGTTTCCAGCTCAGGCTGGCCTTGAACTCCTTACCTATTTAAGGGTGATGTTGAACTTCTTTTAATATAATTTATTTTTAGTTTATATACATTGGTGTTTTGCCTGCAAATATGTCTGTATGCGGGAATCAGATCCCCTGGAACAGGATTACAGACAGCTGTGAGCTGTCATGTGGGTGCTGGGAATTGAAGCTGGGAGAGCAGTCAATGCTAAGCCATTTCTCCAGTTCTGGCATTGAACTTGTGAGCTTCCTCCTCTATCTCCTGAGTATAGCACATGTTATTTTTGCAGAATCATCTGAGCTGTGCCCAACCCAACTTTTATTTATTTATTTACTTATATTTTACTTTTCTGAGACAGGATCTCACTATATAACTCTGGCTGGCCTGGAACTTGTTGCTTGCTATGTAGACCATGATGGTCTGGAACTCACAATGATCTATCTGCCTTTCTTTCCCAAGTACATTCTGTTTTCTTTCTTTTTTTTTTTTTGAAATTTTTAAAAGATTTATTTATTTATTATGTATACACTATTCTGCCTACATGTATGCCTGATCTCATTATAGATGGCTGTGAGCCACCATGTGGTTTCAGGACCTCTGGAAGAGCAGTCAATGCTCTCAACCACTGAGCCATCTCTCCAGCCCTTCTTTTCTTTTAAAAGAATTTATGTGTCTCGAGTATTTTGCCTGTATTTGTGTTCATGTACTACATCATGCCTGGTGCCTGCTGGGGTTGGAAGAGTGTCAGGTCCCTTGGAATTGGAAAAACAGATGGTTGTGAGCTGTCAAGTAGGTACTAGGAATTGAACCTGGGTCCTCCGGAAGAGCAGTCAGTGCTCTTAACTTCAGAGCCATGGCTCAGCACCCCATTCTGCTGCTCTGGTTATCTGAATTTCTTCAAATCGTGGGAGTTCATTGATCTTTACATATATGATTTGCTCTCTATCTCATGTGAATGGCTTAAAAAATAAATCTGGGATTGAATTTAGAGCATGGCAAACGTGCAACCTTCTGACAGTTGGGACACTAGGATGTTCTTTACAAAGTTCACAATAGAAACTGCAGGGTCTCCAGGCGCCTCTAATC